GTTTCCATAGTGTTGTTCTGTCCACGCTATCAAATGCCTTTTCGTAGTCAATGAAGTTGATGTAGAGTGATGAATTCCATTCAATTGATTGTTCCACAATGATCCGTAGAGTTGCGATTTGGTCTGTACACGATCTATCCTTACGGAATCCAGCCTGTTGGTCACGAAGTTGGGCGTCTACGCAGTCCTTCATCCTGTTTAACAATACCCTGTTGAAGACCTTTCCCGGTATTGAGAGAAGAGTGATGCCCCTGTAGTTATCACAATTGCTGAGATCGCCTTTCTTTGGTATTTTGATCAGAAGTCCTTCTTTCCAGTCTGTTGGTACTTGTTCCCCATCCCAAATCTTATTGAAGAGAATGTGGAGTATCCTTGCAGCTGCCGCTACATCTGCCTTTAGTGCCTCTGCTGGGATGTTGTCTGGTCCTGCTGCTTTGCCACTCTTGATTTGTCTGATGGCCGTGCTGATTTCTTCAATTGTTGGTGGGCCAACATTGATTGGGAGGTCCGTGGGTGCTGCTTCGATGTTGGATGGGTTCAGTGGAGCTGGTCGATTCAAGAGTTCTTTGAAGTGTTCTACCCACCTGTTTTGTTGCTCTTCAATGTTGGTGATTACCTCGCCTTCCTTGCTTTTCACTGGTCGTTCTGGTTTGCGGCGATTTCCAGAGAGTTTCTTTGTCGTGTCATACAATTGTCTCATGTTTCCTTCTCTTGCAGCCTTTTCCGCCGTCGTTGCTAAATCTTCCACATATTTACGTTTGTCGGTTCTGATGCTCCTCTTCACTTGTTTGTTTATTTCCGTATATTCAGCTTGAGTAGTATGGATAGGCCCAGTGAGTTACCTGTCTACTTCAAGTGAAAATTTAGGGAGGAAAATGTATCTACTACAACTGCAAAGTAGGAAAATAAGGTAAACTGAAGTTGGAGTCCAGTTTGGTTTCTACATGTAGAGAGCCTATGATGTCTGAGTGGGACGCATATGTGTTCGTTCGTGCTAGATCAGTGCAAGTGAGTGCTTGATCAAGAAGTCATAAAAACGTATGTAGTCCATCTGCCATGCATATTTCAGAGAGAAGACTGCTCCATTTTAATGCATAGTTGATGATGAAGAAGCTTTCTAGAGCTTATGATTGGTATTTCTCAACTTTGACCGTTGATATTTTATCTCGAAGTTTGTATTCATGTGAGTCTTGGGCAAATACTAAATAACGTGTGGAATGATTATGGTTTTTGCGGAGTTTGAAGTAGGTAGTCAAATTGAACATGAACCTTCCTTTCCAAAGGTGTTGTAGTCCTAATTTTTGGCATCAAGAACTGTATTCAGTGAGTGAGTCAATCTTAAGTATTTTTACAGTTGAAATCCTTAGGTATATCGATTAGGCGTGGGTTATAAAATATGACCAACAGGAGATTTGAAGGTGGCCGAATTGGTAACATGAGTACTAACAACGAAGATTGCACCAGTGTAGTATGTGCTGTTATAAGACGAGCCGGACACAACTGCGAAACATGAGAAAGGAAAATCTCTCTTGAAATAAATAAAGAATGAGGTGACGTTGGATATTGGTGGTCATGATTCTGCAGTAGTACCTGAAAACCCGGATAAAACCGATCGTACTAGCTTGTCAGACAACCCTAGATGAGTTCATTTCAAAAATTGATAAGAGAGTCAACAAAAATGTTGAACTTCAACTAAATAGAATTCTTAAATTAATCCTAGGGTCGAAATTTTTTGTTAAGCGGTACTGGAAGTTACGATAGCACCGAAGTTTGGTTAAGACCTGAAATATTTCTAGAAGATAGAGTAAGAAAATAGACCGCGTTATGTAGACTAGGAGGACGAAGATGAACTGGTGAGGAGAGTCTCCACTTAGTAGATTTTTGAGCGGACATGTCTTGAAAGATAATGCCACCAAGACCTGTATGGATAGGTTGTTCCTTTTAAGAGTTTTATGTGGAAATGATCGTAGTTTATGATAACTAAACTTATGGACTTATTAGTCCATGACTTTGACGTTACTCCAAAATTATCCAGATACGACTACATGAGAAGTGACAGGAATAGATGCAGGAATAGTGGTGTCCTTATATGCATTGTTAATAATATAAACATCTGTTCCTTTGTTTGTAAATATCATGATAATGGAACTCATAGACTCTCTTTTGAATGCTGTGCATCTGTACTAAATTTCGTCTACCATAGTTCGATTTCCTTAGCTGATGATTTTATTCTAAAACACATTCTGTTGTGAAACAAAAATAGCAGATGCATTATATTAGATTTCAATGCGCATGATATTATTTGGACAGAGATAGCCACAGCGGAATCAGGAAACTTCTGATAGTAGGCTCCTGATGCCGGTAGTGAAGTATGCCTTATTACAGCATGTATCCGAACCAATAATGTTCTCTGTTAGACTTAGTAATCACTTGTGCAACCAAGAATTTTTCCAATCTAAATATTTTTCGACTGTTGGCAAATCAGCGTCACGTATAATTGTGATTCATGTTTAGACCATGTTACGTCGTAAACGATCAGACTAAACCAAGCCCAAATGTGTAAAGGGAAAGTAAACCAGTCATTCGGGATTGCGCTGTAACAACGGGCTGGTCACTGAATACTAGTGCATCAATAATAAAGTAATGGTCTGTATATAAAGGTGCGGTTAGTTAAGTCCCCGTTTACACTATGTTCAGCACTACGTAGACCAAATAACTGTCCACTGTAGATGACTAAGCATGTTAAGAAACTTCTTGAGCGTAGAAAAAAGTATCGGAGTATATTCATCTCGACGGGCTCTGAAAAGTACCCATCCATTTATCATAAGAGTAAGGACGCTTACAAAGCGTTTGTAAGGCTAGACAAAAAACAGTTGATGAGGGATTGTAAAGGCTGTCCGAAAAGATTGTTCCAGTATATAAGGAGTCGAAATCAGAGAATTGGTGGGATCTTATTGCGATTGCCAAGAAGTGGTTTTTCAAAAGCTGAAGTTCTAGCAGAATATTTTAGCATATTGTTTTCTATCGACAACAGTGTGAGACGAAAAATTAATTCTAACGATGCCGACTCGTTTATGGATATTGTGGTTATTGAGAAAGAATCTGTCTTAAGATTACTTCAAAGTCTCAAACGAGAGAAGTTTAGCAGTCTTGACGATATTTATTTCAGAACTGTGAAATCTTTGGAGGATGTAATTGCCGAACTACTGGCAATAGGGTTTTACATGTCTCTGTGGCAGTCTAAACTGTCGAGAGGCGGGAATGTTTAGATTACCATTCCGGTTTATAAAGTGAGGAGTAGAGAATACATTTTTAACTAACAGCTCGTCAATCTAACCTGTCTAGCTGTCAAACTAATCAGAAAGATTATTCAGATGGTTATTTCGAACTGTGTGGGAGTCCACAATCTTTTAGCCAGGTAACAAGTTGACTTCAAGAAAAGGCCTACCATGCTTGACAAATCCGCTTACTTCAAGAAAAGATTAGGTTGCTGCGAAAAGTAGAAATGTTTCAGTATATATAAACTTCATAGATCTGTAGCGTGGCGTCGATTTGAGATTAACTATGAACACCGCTACCAAGAAACACGTGCCAATTAGATCAGAAGGCGTAAGAAGCTCGTTCCAAATGACTCCATAAAATCCCCGAGAAGCCGAATATCAGAAGGCAATTAATGGACGAAGTCGAGGTTTATTTGCTGGCGATCTTGTGGCATCGAAAGGATACCGAGATCGTGCCAGGATACAAGCTTGGTTACAGAACGTAACCGAATTCGCGCGAAGTTACAATCGAAGTGTAAGTATAAGAATGGAAGCACAAAGTAGCTGTCATTAGCACAGTCAAACAAAAGCACGTTAAAACAAACACTGGTACAGTTGGTTATAATAATAATTGTTTTTATTAAACCAGTCGTGTTCTCGTGATAAACGTGAGTCACTACAGATCTCAGTAATACATTTGACAAGGTCTCTCACCTGAGTCTTGAATTAAAACCACGGTTTCGGGATCCGCTATAGAATCATAAACTGGGTAACATTTTCAGTAATAGGAGACAAAAGTTATTGGAAACTGAGGGTCTGTTGATGTGGGGGTTTGTAATAAGCAGAGTTTACCAAGACAAAGTTTTTAGTCCTCTTCTTTTTACTTCATGTAAATGAATTACCAACTACAGCAAGGTCATCTGTTCTACTCTTTGCAGTTAATATAAAGATTTAGAGATCCATACACAGCATATTAGACAGGATAATATCACAGGGTGACCTGAATTCACTGGTTGGATGTGCAGATGGTCATTAGAAGTTAAGGCTAACAAGAGTATAGCGATATACATAAATAATTGAAACGATCCACATCACTACACAATATCTGGAGTCATGCTACCTAAAGTGATACGCTATAGAGATCTAAAAGTCAAAATAATTAACGATCTCAAAACTGCGGGTAACCGCAGTGCTGCTGCTGCCAAAAGCTTTAGGGTCTTATTGTCTATCTGCAAGTCATTTAATCACCTGAACGAAGAAATGTTTATGATGTTAAGCCCGACTTTCAAGCAAAGTCCTCGTTTCAAGCATGAGACGGATATGCTATAACGAGTTCCATAACGAAGTGCTGAAGTGCTAAAATGTTGCTCTGGCTTATCTTATGACAGACTAAAACGCCTTAACCTATTTCTGTAACCTTAACGCAGGTTACGGGGTGATCTAATACTAGTGTACCATATATTGAACGATTATCTTAGTATAAGTATGTAATATCTTTTCTTTCCACCTATAACTGGTTATCTAAGAGGATGTTTTAGGAAAGTTCAAATACCTGGATCAAATCGTTTACGTCTGGAAACACGTTTCTCGCCTCAACTAGTGAATCACTGAAATTCTCCACTAGAACAGGTAATATCACCATCTTCTGTTGATGCATACAAAGCGAGATTAGACCTTCACAGTGCTACAAACTGCAAGGATTAATATAGGTCGATAGACCTATCTTCACTACAGAAGATCAGTGTGACGTTGCACTACCTTGAAGTCCGCGGGAATGTTAATCCCCCTAGGCTTATTGACTTTAAACGGTATATATATATATGTCGCATTTCTATATGGTAAATGGTGTTGGTACTCCTCCGAGTTACCTTTTTTTTCTCTTGGTAATTCGAAAAATAAGTTCACACATCACTGGGCTTCTAAACAGGGTAGTGGTTTTTAAATTTGTTATGAATCTAATTTACTTTTGTTCGATCATAACATCACCGGTGTATCAAGTCAACTTTAACTTGAATTAGCCCGGTTAAGTTCCATGTCTTTTGATTCGCCTTTCAGTTATGCCTTTATTGTTCCTGCTAGCTTGTATTTTGCGTGCATTTTAGTCGTTTCTGTCACTATGCTAGATTTCGCACTAGTTTTTAGAGTCCACGTGTAAATGTTTGATGTAGACTTGTTTAGTGCTTGGTATTAGTTGTTGGTATGGGGAGGTAGATCGCCTACTCTTTAAGCAGGAAGTAGAGTGTGTTGGTTTTGTGTTTGTTGACTGGAGATGATATCGATACAGAATGTTGAATGATGGTTCCTTGATCGGTTTCGTTTATATTCATCGACTTAATCTCATTAGTGAATAACGGATTAAAATAAGCAAAAGATGAGTGTGTGAGAAACCACGCATTTGTTAACACAAACAAGAAATGCAATACGATGAAGGCATAATATGCCTACTTAGTAAACAATGGATGACTTGGTCCCTTTTATATGTAAATTACAGTTAAGAAATTGGAGCATAAGTGACACAATTAAGGCAACCACATATAAAGGCGCACATGAGTAAGATTAACAAGGTTATAAATAACAGGTACATGGAAGTTCATAGGGCATATGATGAGATCAAAATAGAACATTTGATGGACAGATTTTTCTTAACAGAAGTATGGGGAGACTGCTATAATGGGTTTAACAAGTGGTTTCATAAGACACGTACCTGTTTTAGACCTATTGCATTATAAACAATGTTTGAAGTCTAACTCATTGGTTCAGTGTATTTTCACATTCCGGTACAATATCGAGTATCCATTAGGCTTTGGGGCCTTTGGTAACGTATTACTACTGGAGATTCTGGTACAGAGAGCTAAAATTGCACTAGTATCATAACTATACCTAAAGGAAGTGAAATAAAAAATCAGACTACTAAACATGGAAATTCTTTGATAAAGCACATAAAGGATGAAATGTCACAAGGTGGCTGACTGATTGTAGGTGAAGTTGACTCCCGAATCATTTTATGTAAAATCCCTAATATAACCGTGAATAACTTAAAGAGTTATACCATACGGAACGGGATAACAGCGATAACTCTAACGACAATGTCGATACCGTATACAATAACCATATTCTCTTCTAACCCCAACTTCTCAAAAAAACAAATTTTGTAAGAAAGTTTTATTGAAAGCGACCAAAGGTCGATTTAAGTCCACGTTAATTCTGTTATATATCGACCCACTGGAAGTCAACGAACAGAATCCAATTCAAATCAACAAATAAATCTCACACTGACTATCTTAAATGTTATGTTTGGTTGTTTGAGATCCCTAGCATCATGATACGAAGGTTCCAAGTAAAAAAAGATGAAAATCAGAATCGTGGCAACTAAATAGAGAGATAAATTTCACGAATGCTTCACCTTTAGGTAGTAGGTATTTGGGAAGTTCCCATTGCGGATCGCGGAATGCCTTTACGAAACCCCATAGTATGACTATGAACAGACTTAGTGCAAAGGAATGATTGAACTGGTTCCAATATTATGAAAAATTTCCATCAATTGGATATTGGGGATGGCTAAAATGAGGTCTGGATATTTGTCCGTAACAAACTGTCGAATATTTCAACGGCAATTCATGTTGACAAATCTGTAAAAGTAGGCGAGATGATTAGTGGGAATACCGTGTAGACTCCTTAAAATAATTATAGTTGGAAGCAAAGAAATTTTGTTAACCGGTGCTCTAAAGCAAGGTTATTCTGGCATTCACACAAGATCTGAATTATCGTATGGAAATGGGATCAAGAGAAAGACTTGTAGCTAAACTAAAAAAAGAAGAGTGAAGAAAACTCTTGACCGGGGTTTTCAAGTAGTCAGGTATTGTAAGCGAAAACTACCATGATCTCTCATGATAGGTCGTCTCATTTGGGACATTTACACACCAATGTTCGTAGTTTCTAAAACAAATCTCAAGAGTTATGGGTGTCAGTGGACAAATCAAAGTCACTCATAACAGTTTATGACTCTGACATCACTCCAGAGCTATCGGGTACACCGGAAAGAGGATAGTCTTTATATACATTTGGAACAATATGCGTACACGTTCGTTCATTTGTGAGCCTCATGAAAGCAGGACATGAAAAGTCATTAGGTGTGAACTTTCGAATGTTGTAGATTTATACTTCGTGCTATCTACATTAGTCCAATCTGCTCAGTCGATGATTTCATTTTAGAACACATGAATTCGTACAGTAAAAATAACCGGCGCCTGATATTAATCTTCAGTGTACTTGATATAAATTGAAAGAAGTATCCGCTGTAAAATCTGACAATATATTTGATGACAGGCTCCATATGACTGTCATAGAGAATGCTGTAGTGCAGCATATATCCAAACCCACACATTTTTGTTAAAACCAAGGATTTTCTTTGTTGGATCTAGTAATCACTCATGAAACGGAGGATAATCCATGTCTAGATACTTTCCCACCGTCGGTTAATTAAGGTCATGATTTTTAATCATTCGGGTTCATAACTTATGACAATCTATAACCAGGTTCGTCCTGTCTCAAATCTGTAGAGAGCAAACATTTCGGCCATCAAGGAGTGTGCTGTGGCGGAATCAGTCAGTCAGTAACAACGTAGAACTTCGTACGTACGTACATCAGTTCGAGTTGCCACACCACATTAGCACAGAGATGCAGTGGTTGATTCAAATCCCGTAGTGGTAGAGGTAATAAGAGTATATGCAGTAATCGGGAAGATTAGTGTTTGGAGATGTTACTTAAAGAGTATAATACAGTGAAATAAATTTGAGAGGAGAAAGAAAGAGACAAGGAGGAATAAGGAGATCAAAATTTGGGAGAACACAAAGAGTGGATGCACCTACTGTGGCGGTATAGTCGGTTATTACTAGCTCGTCAATTTGAGTCATGGTTTATGCTTACAGGTACACTTAGTTCAATTACTTCTTCATTTATACCATGCTTAAAACTACACAGATCTAACACTTATCCACTATGAATAACTAAGGGGGTCAATAAACCCAGCCGTAGAAAGGGACATCGGGATATGCCCCCAAATAGCTTGATACGTCCGAGAGTATGGTGAGTCAGATCTCCCTCTCGAAACGCCTTCATATGGTCGTGCGTATACAACCATTGCCTTTTCGCGACGGGGGTGTTGTTTACGAAATTGAGGGGACGAAAAAGGAATGTCCGGTGTTTTAACCGGGTTGGTGGACACAGGTGATTCAATTAGGGGAGTTATAAAACCCTGATTTTAAAAAAGTAGTGCACATGGGCTCCAGAATTCTGAAGGAACAAATGGTGTATGAACCTATTGTTAGTCATCGGCCACCATGGGATTGCATCATCTAACGTTGCTCTACTGCCTTGTGGATTAGACCTCTAGGTCAAAAGCTCGGGGAGTGGCTCCCTAAGAAAACCACTTGTTTTGTTTCGGACGCCCGGATAGTATTCCAGCCCTCACACAAGTCGAATGGCGAAATGTGTCTCATATGTATTCGACGCCTCCTTGTACCAGTGTTTATGTGTTTTAATAAATGAAATCAGGATCTGATTAGTTAGTATTCACCTACTGTAAAACTAGAAACATATACAAAGCGTTAATAAGTAAAGCTGGATTATCGTTTGAGAAACAACTGATTTGAGGTCCTAAAATTAGTCCCAAAAGTTGTGCTCGTACACAGAGACAAACTCAGAAAAGTGACGGAATTCTGCCACTTCTGTTATGGGAAGATCCACTGACATAGTCAAGTAATGGTGTTGCCAAAGGTGGAACCTTGTCAAAATAAGTAAAGTATTTCCTCCCAATGATAGTAAGAGTTTAATTACTAACCTGAACAGTGGCGTTTTGTGGATGGAAAAGAGAGTTATCCTTCGACAACTATCTCATAAACAGATAAGTCCTGTGGTCTCGATAATATCCATCTTTAAATCATGGGAGCTCTGCAGTAATATGGTTTCTGATGTATTAGCAAGGCTGATCTGCATGTTTATGAAGTAGTTAAATTGTCGAAACTGGAAGAATGCAATAATTATTTCGGCCTATAAGGCTGGAAATAAACATTTGATTACTAGCTATTGCTCGATAACCTCAATTAAAAACATAATAAAACTGATTATTCAGCCTGATGTTCTACGTCATGCAGATGGGAATAATCGTTTAACGAAGAAATAACATGGTTTTGGAGCAGATCTTTCATGTTTGGCTAATGCCGTTATTGGAAGAAAGAGTGAACCGCAGCAAAATTCTGTAGCATCTCAGTAAATGTAGTTTTCATAGGCTAGAGGATTTCAGAATCAGTTATGAAGTTAGAGATTGGATAATTGACTTCCTCAGTAATAAGAAACAACAAGTAAAGGTAAACAGTATTCTATCATCATGGAAATATATGGACGGTGGGATTAGGAGTAAGTTTTAGCAAGAGTGTGGTAATACAAGTCAGTCCGCGAGAATTTACATGACTTCACAGTAAATTAGATTGCTTTATTTGAAGTTATTGGTCATGATGATTTAAGAGTTATAGTAATGACCGTAGATTGCCCGGTAACTATGAGGTGGCCTCCTCCAAAGGCTTACCAGTCTTGAGTCATTTTGCAATTCAAATGAAGTGTTTAGAATATTATATTTGGCATATATGGGACCGCATCTAAAACATGCGATTCGCGAAACAAAATCTTGTTTCATATACAAACTAGATATAATTGAAAGGGTTCAACAACTTGAAACATAAATCTGGAAAGGTTATTCTAGCCTGCCTTATAAAGGTTAACTGAAATGCTCTATCCTAGTTCCGTTTCCCGTGCACTAAATGATGATTTTTGTATCAATGTCTTATCTTTTTATCAAACACAGGACTGATCATCTGAGAGGATATTTTCAGAAGGGTCGAAAAGCGAGATCAAACCGGTTACATCTGGAATTCCGTTTCGTTCACTGAGTTGTAAATTGCTGTAATTATCTACCCGAATACGTAGTATCAGCATCTGTTCATACGTCTAAAGAGATTGGGTCTTCACAGCACTGGAAGTCACGAGGATTAACCTCCTGTCCCTAACTTTGAAGACATTCCTTTATACTTTGGAACAGTTTTGAAGCACCGGTGGTTTAACTTATGGTGTAAATCAAGTGCTTTTTGTACAGGTAATATTTGACTCGAGGTCTTGCAATTTATTGATACATACAATAGCTATTCTTTTTTTATGACTTAGTGATTTCCCCTGGGGAGCCTATCAGTATTCAGAATGTTTAACCAACTTGTGACAAAACAATTTGTCCTGTTATTTAAGTGTTTATTATTGTTTTATTGCCCATCGGATGATGGATTGGCGACTAGGCTCTCCAAGGAACAGATATTTTTCTTACTTAAATCCCTTCGTTTTCTACATCGTTTTAATTTTACCCACCTACGTTAGGTTGGTTACTTAACTCCCTTCAAAATAATAAAAAGTTGCTCGACCCCCGATTTTCTCGTGCGATGTATGTAGCTCAATTATCACTGCCCTGAAAGGCTGACACTAAGTTCTGTCTGTTTTGGTTACTTTCTCACAAAATTATCTTCGTACGTTCTCCACTGCCTTTTAGATAATTTCATTGTATCTTGCTTAAATTCGTTATAATTTCAAATCAACCTTAATAGTGGTAATTTTACAGCTTTATACAAAAAAATATTCTCATCAAAATATCGTCTGTGTTTGTGAACATTCTTGTATTAAAATTGGTTGTTATTGCTTGTAGGTATTTAGGGACTAAAGACAATCAACCAAAGATTTTTGGTGCTATCTGTGTTATGAATGTTTTGACTATTGTGTTTTTTAAATGCTCATTACACTGCTTATTGTTAACAGATTCGGTATATTTCAGTGTGAGTGTTGTTTGGTATTTGTGGTCCTTCATTTTTGTAAATTGTATTACTTGGTTTTCAATAGGGGTTATTTATACTCTAATCTGTTTTTATAGTTATGAAACCAACATGAGGCCCGATTTGCTGATGTTGCTAGTCCTAAGCCTGAGTAAAGATGGTAGGTTGGGGTATTATGTCTTACAACTCGACCTCTTAAGAAAGAACTTTGCTGCAAAGTCACTATGTAGAAAAATATTAAGATCGGACTTCGGATACCCTATGTGTTGCCAAATTAGCCATTGGACTGAAATTGGGATTCATTAGAACCGGAATTCGGACACTCAATTTAACACAGCTGTTATGGAGAAGGATTTTACTGATTTGATAGACGATCTTTTGTTTATCAAAGTCATTGATCAGAATCTTGATCAATAAATGAAATGCAGTGATACAAAGTATGGTCGATTGGTGGTTATTCACGAGACCACATTATTGGCTTAAGCTTTTGTATAATTTGAAATAAAAAAAGCATGACCATTAGCCATAAGAATAGATTTTTCATATAATAAAATGACATGCTTATGTACAACATAATCACACAAACAAAAGTGTTATCATAGGTGGTTGGAAAAATCAGTTTGTAAATCACTAATTTTGCAACCAATTAAGACCTGATTGTTAGGCCTAATTCTTGCCCGTCACATCAACAGTTGACTAGCTTAGTAAACTAGTTTAACCCATTATATGTAGTATGTCATGATGTGGTGTTTCCCATTCTTAAATGTCACCGTCTTTTTTGATTAATAAGTGTTTTCTGGCTTTTAGGATGAAAATCTACTTGGCTTTCTTACTCATTGGATTTGGGGCGTTACTCTGTCACAGTGAAGCAATAATTAAACAACATTTACCAGCTGAACTTCTGTGTTCAGACATAAATTGTGTGAAAACCATAACTACTGGAAGTCTTATCAAAGATGTTAATGTACCGAATAAGAAAACATTAAAAGTGAATACCTTAGTGGACATAATAGGATTAAGCGCTGATGCTACTAATTCTATGATGAAAATAAAATTCGGCGAAGAACATTTATACATCGACCCAAGTTTTGTACAAATTAAGGATTCTGTTAGTTCACGCAAATTTTTAAAGGTGAAAAACTTCGATATAAATTTGAATCCTTCGACTCTATTAGATGAAAGAACACTTAATCTAGTGTCACCTTACCAACTACCATCGGATGAAGATTTGAATTACAAATCTACAGAGAAAATATCTGAGAAAGATCATCCAGATAACAAGCAAACACTTTTCCGTAATCAAAGACAGAGTAATGCTTATGATACTAGAGAAAGGACGAATGAAATTGATGAAATGGACGTGGTTAGTAGCAGAAGTTATGATCAAGTGAGCAAACAAGAAACTACATACAAGATAGATTCTGATGAAGTGGAACAAGATGACAAAATTGAGGAAGATAATGACGACAATGAGTTTGACTATAACAATTCATCCGAAATAAAACATGGTGACACGGATACCACTGACTATCCATCCGAATCACCCGGTGAGCCGGCTTCTGTGAATCAACAACCGTCATCTGTTCAGTCACATCACGTTGAAATGAAGGTGTCTGGAACCGAACATGTGGAAACCCATGTACCGGTACGACCACCGACTGTCTCACCTGATACTGATAAGGAGTCGAAGGAGGATGTTTCGAGTAGATCTGAACAGAGTGAACCTGTTTCTGTGAATCAACAACCGTCATCTGTTCAGTCACATCACGTTGAAATGAAGGTGTCTGGAACCGAACATGTGGAAACCCATGTGCCGGTACGACCACCGACTGTCTCACCTGATACTGATAAGGAGTCGAAGGAGGATGTTTCGAGTAGATCTGAACAGAGTGAACCTGTTTCTGTGAATCAACAACCGTCATCTGTTCAGTCACATCACGTTGAAATGAAGGTGTCTGGAACCGAACATGTGGAAACCCATGTGCCGGTACGACCACCGACTGTCTCACCTGATACTGATAAGGAGTCGAAGGAGGATGTTTCGAGTAGATCTGAACAGAGTGAACCTGTTTCTGTGAATCAACAACCGTCATCTGTTCAGTCACATCACGTTGAAATGAAGGTGTCTGGAACCGAACATGTGGAAACCCATGTGCCGGTACGACCACCGACTGTCTCACCTGATACTGATAAGGAGTCGAAGGAGGATGTTTCGAGTAGTTCTGAACAGAGTGAACCTGTTTCTGTGAATCAACAACCGTCATCTGTTCAGTCACATCACGTTGAAATGAAGGTGTCTGGAACCGAACATGTGGAAACCCATGTGCCGGTACGACCACCGACTGTCTCACCTGATACTGATAAGGAGTCGAAGGAGGATGTTTCGAGTAGATCTGAACAGAGTGAACCTGTTTCTGTGAATCAACAACCGTCATCTGTTCAGTCACATCACGTTGAAATGAAGGTGTCTGGAACCGAACATGTGGAAACCCATGTACCGGTACGACCACCGACTGTCTCACCTGATACTGATAAGGAGTCGAAGGAGGATGTTTCGAGTAGATCTGTACAGAGTGAACCTGTTTCTGTGAATCAACAACCGTCATCTGTTCAGTCACATCACGTTGAAATGAAGGTGTCTGGAACCGAACATGTGGAAACCCATGTACCGATACGACCACCGACTGTCTCACCTGATACTGATAAGGAGTCGAAGGAGGATGTTTCGAGTAGATCTGAACAGAGTGAACCTGTTTCTGTGAATCAACAACCGTCATCTGTTCAGTCACATCACGTTGAAATGAAGGTGTCTGGAACCGAACATGTGGAAACCCATGTGCCGGTACGACCACCGACTGTCTCACCTGATACTGATAAGGAGTCGAAGGAGGATGTTTCGAGTAGATCTGAACAGAGTGAACCTGTTTCTGTGAATCAACAACCGTCATCTGTTCAGTCACATCACGTTGAAATGAAGGTGTCTGGAACCGAACATGTGAAAACCCATGTGCCGGTACGACCACCGACTGTCTCACCTGATACTGATAAGGAGTCGAAGGAGGATGTTTCGAGTAGATCTGAACAGAGTGAACCTGTTTCTGTGAATCAACAACCGTCATCTGTTCAGTCACATCACGTTGAAATGAAGGTGTCTGGAACCGAACATGTGGAAACCCATGTACCGATACGACCACCGACTGTCTCACCTGATACTGATAAGGAGTCAAATGTGGATGTTTCACAAGTTTCATATTCCACCTCGTCAAGGGACATTTTGGACAATGATAGTCATATAGAATCTAATATATCAAATTCGCATTTTTCATTGCATGATCGTAAACAAGGAGTCATCACCAGTGATCTCATCGGTGTTCAAGATATTGGAATAATTTATTCTTCAGATGTAAATAGCTCTATTCTTTCATCCGTTTCACGAAAAGTGTCTGAGGATCAAATTATTTTCAATCATCACAGTGTTCCCGTTCACTTAGGTTTGATACAATGTATATACTGGGCAGCAAACGCTAGCTTTGATAAAACGTATTCTAAAACTGTTAGATCACCTTTTTCGCGCTTCTTAGTCAATGGATTTAGGTACTTCTTTGCAGCTGCTAACGTTTCTCTGCAGTATTTACCAGAAAACATTATTTCCAATTTAGATAATTTTTTGCTTGAAACATTTTCTTTATCATTAAATTTCATTATTGCTTGGATGATTTTTATATTTCACTTAATTTTTTTGTGGAATCTAAGTAAGGGCGTACATTTCCTTCTATCTAAATACATTTTTTTTGAAAAATGCACATCTCCATCTCTCGTAGAATATCTAAAACTTGAGGAGTATAGCATTCAACTAGCTAGCCAACTTTCAGATACGGAAGAATCTAATTCTCATTTATCTAAATGGGCTAATTCACTTTCATGCAGTCTTCAAAATCTACAGGAAGAATATACTTCCAAATTATCTGAAATGACATTATCTGTGGATGATTCTCGGGAATCTTACATACGTGCTCAATCGGAGTTGAATCATTTAAAAAATACTCATAATTCGCTGGAACAAAACTTACGTTTGAAGTTAACTGATAAAGAAGAAGTCATTCATGAATTAAATTCAGAAATTAATCGTCTGAAACAATTACACTCTGAAAATGATGATAAATGGAAGAAAAGTCTTTTAGATCTAGAAGAAAGTAACCGTAAGTCAATAGAAGAATTGAAAGAGGAACAAGAACAGTTATATTCTCAAGCTAATTTATATTATAATCGCATGAAGACGATGCAATCAGAGGTCGACAAAATTTTAGAATCTAGAAAAGCATCTGAGGAAAAGTTACTGATTAAAGAAGCAGAATTTCAAAGTTTGCTTGCTACTTTTAATACGCTTAAAGGTCTTGAGGTGATTTTTGAACAGGAATCTTCCTCAAAACAGGAAACAAATGATATGGAAGAACGTGAAGTAACCACCACTGACAACCTATCTAATGTTAGTCGCACGTTAGAGGATGACGTGGAGATTAGCGATAAGTCAAGCATTATTTCCGAAAGTGCTTTGTGTGATTTAATTGAAGTCGATGAAAAGACTACAGAAAAATCTAGATTACAGAAGAATTTATCATTGCTCTTAGATGTTGGTCGTTTGCATGCTCAAATCAGACTTAAAGATGAACAAATTAAAGCTGAAGAGTCTAAAGCAAAAAATGAACATGATCTTCGAGTTGAAGTTGAATCCAAAATGGAAGAGATAGAAAGAGAGAATTCAACTCTTAAAGCTAATTTAATTCATATTGAACAAGAAAGAAATGCTTATCAAACAAAGCTTGATATTTTATCCTGTTATTTTAAAGAACGTGAACTTGAACTGCAAAGGGATTTAGGTAAGCATGTCGTAGTTGGTTCAGAATCTTCCGAAGCCCTTATGCACAGTCGAAAGCGTAATCAAGAGCTTGAGGGGGAAGTTAAAGTATTACGAGATCAAATGGCAGCTTTACGTCGAGAGCTAGTGGAAACTGAAAGAACTAGTAGGCGTCAAATATCGGAGTTAGATAAGCGTTCTCATGAAAATTGGTTAGCAGCTCGTGCGTCTGACCACCAAATTCAAGATCTACGTGAAGAAAACTTCAGTTTGCGACAAAAGCTCATTGAATCAGAGAACAATGCATTACGATCGTCAATGCGCACCATCCCGGAAAAAATAAATAGTTCATCTCGTGAGAAAATTATGAACATTTTCACAAGACCTATTTTACCACTAGAATTTATGAAAAATCCAAGTTTAAGAGATGTACGCTCTCAATCAAGAAATTCTCTAACAAATTTAACATCGCAACGACCAGTAGCAGAAGCTAATCCATTCCCATTCATCCCAACACCACCCCGAGGAACAATGCCTTTTTCAGGTGGACTTCAAAGAGATGTCATACCAACACCAACAAGGCCTCTTTTGCCAGGATTTCCTCCAGTGCAAATGAGTTTCCCGTCAGCATTTTTAGCTCCCCCATTCGCGCCCGTCATGAAAGCGATGACTGACCAAAATAATAAACAAAATAGTTCCCCTTCTTCTGTAAGCAGTTCACTAAAGTGATTTTAGATCTATAACGCTTTGTTCAGTATGTGGTTTTTCTTGCATTTTAATCTTCCGTTCTCTACGTTCCGATTGTTTCGTTGTGGTATTATTATTTAGGTTATTTTGAATCAGGCTGTAAAGTGATAATATTTTTACATTTGGTCTTTTGATAATAAGTATGTCCAGATATTATATTTCAGATTACATATATCAAGAATAATATTTTAAACATTAGTTGGTTATTGCACAAAAAATCTTTTATTCTGTGTTCGTACTTACGAAAATGTTTCTGTTTGTTATTTATTGCTCCGATATTACTTTATATGTTTATAATGAACCATTTTTGTTTCTGGTGAATAATGGTCCTTGAGTCATTCGCTTTATTAAAGAAAATGTTCCAAATTAGTGAAAAGTATGTATTTTTGTCATTTCATTATCTATTATCTACCAACTGTACTAAAGTAATATTACTGAATTGTTTGACTTCATTGAAGATAATTATTTGGTTTAAATCTCAGTCATTAGTTTTAAATATAATCGGGAATTTGCAAAGAAGATCGCTAATTACAGCGCTTAGCGATACTAGTTCACAATCTGGAAAAAATACCAGCCTTTTTTTCGAAATTTGACATTCTTGTTAAATACTAAGGTGTTATGACCTTAGATGTCTTGTTTTGCTATCACACGATTTATCTACCAATCCGAATACGACTTATACGAATCTCCACACTAGGCCAACCAATGACGTCCAACCGGTGTGGGCAGTTTAGCGTCCTTATTGGTCCTATGTCCTACGAGCCCTTCCACTTGAGTCCAGAACAAGATACCAGCTTCGAATCAGAGCAGATCGTTTATTTCAGGCATACTTGGTTTATATATCAATCACACAGACCGCAACGTACCATAAAATAGGAAATAATATTTGTACACAAATAAGCCCAAAAAGTGGCTGTGAATGTGGGAGGCAGTAGTTAATAAACTGAACATAACTTAAGAACCGTAAATCGTACAATAATAAGTTATAGGTCAAAATAAAGCTTATCATAAAAGGAATATAAATATACATAGTGTAATTGTTGAGTAGTTATACAATAAGAATAATTATAGAATATTAGTCCATGAATAGTCCTCGGAGATTACCTGTAATTTAATCTCCACTCGGATATAACACCTCCCCCATTTTGTTTTTGAAAATTCCAACTTTAGATTCTGATTAGAAGAAAAAGAATTATATGTGACTTTAAATTCCTCAACATTCTCCTCCTCCTCGAAATAATGTTGGGTCCTTATGGCTCCAAATTACAACTAGTAGGACTTTATTTAAACCATGTTTCTCGTATTGACTGGAGAATCCACTAAGAATGACTAGATGATGATGAACGACCTTTGATCTGAGTTCATTATTTTCAAATTCATTATGAATCTCGTTAGCAGATAACGAGTCATTAAGAAAGTCAACGTCTAACAGAATTAAATTAGATTTTTGGCCATCATTCGACTCAGCTGACATATTTCCCTCATTGTTATAAGAAGTTTCATCAAAATCATATGCATTATTCTGACAATCAATATCTGGTACACTGTCATTAGAAATGGGATAAGTTGACTCAATATAAAATTCTGTCTTCCGGTGATTTTCAGTAACATCTGGTACAATTTGGTTCATCGTGTTGCTCCAGTTATTTTCTGAATACGAGTCACCATAGCTTTCTCGACTAATAGCACGTGGACCACAATTTTGTTCGAGCTGACGTTTATTTTCGCAGCTAGACAGTACCAGTAGTGTTTCATTTGATTCTGGACTATGGGCATCATCTACAGGATCTGGCTCCTGATCATCTGGTATTGTCACAACTTCATGTGCATTTAGCACAATATTTTCTTGCTCTGAGCTGGACACGTTACCAATATTACGTTTTCCTTCTGGTATAGAGGGATTTGAATCCTGCACAGGATATGCTTCTGAAATGTCCATTACTGCACCATTATCTGCATGATATATAGATTTCTTATTTTCTGCTTGAATGCAAAGTCTGCCCAAAACTGTTACAAATAGCTGTTGTTGCAAGGCCAACATCTTCTGCTGGTGCTGTAATATTAACCGCAACTGTTCGAAAGAAATCGACATTTTTTTTGCCAATAATATTAGCTCCAAAAATCACCGGCAATTATACAGCTAATTTATTTCCAAAATCTGAGTCACCACTTGTCGTATTATTATTATTTTGTTTTTGCCAAAATCCCCGTCGCCAATTGTTATGACCTTGGATGTCTTGTTTTTGCTATCACGCGACCTATCGAACAATCCGGATACGACTTATACGGATCTTTACACTAGGCCAACCAATGACGTTCAACCGGTGTGGGCAGTTTATGAAAACTTTAATTATGTGTTTCTCATGGAAAGTTTTGTTTAATACTCCGAGCTGATACTCATTTAAACAATTAGTCGTGATAGCATGAACATGGCATTGACTCTATCTCTAATGTAGGAATTAAGGTAATAAATTTTCAAACCTTTCTTCTTACAGCTCCCGTTAATCTTATCAAATTCTTAAAATGTTAGGCAGATGTTTCACTCGTTTAATTGTCATTGTACTTATATTTGTTTCGACTAGCAATGAGAAATTTTACTGTCAACTTTATTTTATTATAGCTGGCTTAACTTGTATTTTTTAGGTCATAAAAATTTAGCTCGATGCTTAGTGTACGGAGCTGAACGCTTGATTGCTAAGCCACACAGAAGTTTACTCGTTCCTTGAATAACTGTTTTCATTTCATCTTATCTCTTTCTAATATGTACAACTAGTGGACAATAGTCATTTCTTATGTTTGCAAAAATCTGTAACCTAATGTTTTCGGAAGGAATCTAATCTTTGATTTAAAGTCCTTGCCATAAAGTGTGATCGTGCTACGATTTAGCAAATATTTTGATGTATTTCAGACGATGTAAGAATAACGTCATTTTTTTTTAGTTAAGTCTTCATGAAGGATTCCTTTATGTATTCAATTTATCCAACATCAAGTTGCACCTTTTACTTTGTCCTGAAATTAGATGATGAAAACTAATAATTATACTCTGCTTTATTTAGATTGTATGATTCGATTCACTACAGAAAGTGTATTTAAATTCTGCAAATAAGGCATTAACTTGATTAACTGTGGTTTGCACTAGTCTTTTAGTGATAATTTTTGTAAAGCATCGAGAGAAAGGCAAACATTATTGAGAGGGATCATATAAATGCAGAACAAACTGATGAATCCGTTCTTAAGCATTTTTGTGATTGTACAGAGATACTGATTAGTAGTAGGACAGTGGTGGTTGGTAACTTTTACTTAGCTATATAGCCTCACTGCTTGTTCCAAAATATCTTTTCATCTCTATCCATCGTCTATGTACTTTATCAAACAAAGTTATGTGTCAGAAATCCCTAAGAAAACTGGACTTACAATTAGATGATAATTTATACTTCCTTGTAATGCTCATTGATTATATATATAAGATATTCATAGGTTAACTAGCACTCAACCACAGGTATCTTTTAACTGTTGCTCGTGTGTTTTTGGGCCATCAAGCGAGCCATGCCGAATTCAAGCATAGGGTACAAGGTAAAGATGTCAAATAGGTTGACGAAGTAGTGGTACGTACCCCCAATCACCACCTACCTCAGTTCACGATGTTTACTGGGAAAGTAGTCTGGGAGAAATCTGCCGACAGCCAAATCAGGAAGTGGCACCAATCTGTGAAGTTACTGTCAGTCTAACTGAGCAATTATGGTATTCATTACAGTCGTGTTGAATTTGCATAAGTGGATACGCATTCCAGAATACATGACCTGATAACATGTAACTCAAATGCACTAATTCTATTTCATTGGTTAATTTGTGCTATTAATATATATATCCTATTGCATACTTTGGTTGTTCGTCTATCTATCGGTTAATCATATTCCATGATAATGCTGACCTGTAAATATTTGACACACATTGACTAAAGTATACTGGACATTTTGGACTCATTTAAGTACTATACAGATTAGACCTGTCTAATCCAATCCCCGATATATTTGATCATGATACAATTAATGCCGATTCTACTTTTAATTGTTGTTATAAATTCAATTACCTTACCGTTATAACTTGTCGTTTGAATGCTTATTGTTGTGGCTCTTTTAATGCTACTTTTTGCATCTGGTCGTCGCTGATTGTTATATCCGAAACGCTTATCACTTATACTCGGAACGAGGGACCTCTGCAATTCCCACGACGCGAAAGTAAGAACACAAAGACTGGTATAAGTGATGATTTATTAAACCCAAAATATGACGACGACGACAACTCTAGTAGAAAATACACCCATCTATATATTGATTGTACACCCATTTTGGTTAATAATTAAGATGAAATCACATATATTAAAATAACTTAGAGTTATAACAAATCACATACTGATCATAGTGCATGTCAATGGAATACAAGAATATCGTATATTATACAGAATAAAATATCATACGAGAAAAGGAAACAAATACTACATTGAGTAATCATTACATTGAACCAAAACGGAAGTAATGTTGAACAAAACTCATAATGTGTAAATCAATTGAAAATTGACTTTTCTATCCATCATATCACCTACAAGGATGTCTAGTATTGGTGTTAATCCAGCACTATTATTTCAGGCCAGTTGTTTCCATTCAGTCCTATTACACTTCATTGTTTGTTATTACTGTGCATTTTAGTTAATTCAGTAACTTGCTGGATTTATTCAACTTTGACCATCGAGTTAAATATAAAGACCATAAGAGATATGTGGTTAGGTGTAGACTATGTATTGATTGTTTGCGTGACTATAATAATCAGTGATTGTAGACGACTGATGTGGCTCAAAATCATATTGTATTGTAGTGACTATATAAAGCTTGCGTAAATGTATCCGAACTTTTGGGTAGATATTAAAAATTCAGACACCAAGTATTTACTATTTACCTCTTGTTTGTGTCCTTATCAAATATATTTATGCACACTTGACTTGAGCATATGTCTGTACAGTTATCAGTAATTCATCGTCTTCCTGATTCATAGTCTTTTTAGGTTTATATAAACGCTTATAAAAAGTTATATTTTTGATAGAGAGGTAGCGTCTCTCCGCTTCGTATCTGTTCACTTTACACTCATAGTTTGTTTGCTCAATAATAAATAAGTGAAATATATTCTTCCCAAATACATTCCTGATTAACATGTTTTATTTCGTTAACAATTGTGTTATTTAGTTAGGTTGTGTGAGGGAAGTTAGTTAATGAATTATATTTCATCATCGTCATCAACTGTGTAGCGAATTCAATCAACCAAACTCCAAATTATTGTATTTATTACCAGAATTTAATTATGTAATTCTTTATTAATACGTTCCATTCGCTAGTCTGTCACGAGAGATTGAGGTGAATAATAAAAGATTCAAGAATTTGGATAAGATATTTGGAGAGTACGTATTTGAAGTCATTTTAATTTGCTTA